CCCTGCCGCCCGGTCCGGGCCGCCGCGGGGCCCCGCGTTCCGGGCCGGGCCGCCCTTCTCGCTGCCCCTTCCGCCTGTCGGCCCCGCCCCTGGCGACCTTTCGCCCTCTCGCCTCCCCCTGCCCTTTTAGGAAGGCGCTCTTTTCCTTCGCCCAGGCTCGCTTCCTCTTTCCTCCAGCCTTCTGTCGGTCTCCTGGTCCCTCTCTCCCAGCTCGTTCCTCACCAGCTGTCAGAGCGGCCCCCGCCCCTTGGGCCTTCACTCCTTCCTGCCTGTCACGGGACAGTCGGGTCCCCCGAGGTCCTAGGTCTCTGGCAGAGTCTCCCCAACGGTGCAGTTTTGTGGCGCGGCAGGAAAAATGGAAGAGAAAATTTGGTTTACTTTTCCTGAGAAAGCACTCAAGTGCAAAGTCCATTACCTTGGTTTTCATTTTATATCCCTTTAACCTGAACAGCGATAAAGAGTTGTAAATACTTTTATTGGGGCTGGGTTGAAGGGATGCCTTTTTTTTTTAATTTAAGATTTTTGTTTTTGCTTGAAGTCATATTCGTCATCTCTGAACAGTAAATAGTTTTAGTGCCAAGATTCTTGTGAAATTGTATCTTTCAAACATTCTCTTAATTCCGTAGGGAGGGTAGAGAAAGTAGATAAGCCTAACATATTTCAGGTCATCTTTAGACAGTCAAATGGAGCCGACAGAACCCCAACTGGAACTCAGAAAAGGAGGGTGGGCTGTGTCTTGGCTTTGATACTTAGTAGCAGCGTGATAGGACAGGGTAATTTAAATGAGAATATATTTGAAAGCACTTCCATTATTGCGTTATATTATCTGGAGCACTAGAATAACCTCGGAGCCCTGGTGTCGCAACGGTTAAGTGTTTGGCTGCTAACCAGAAGGTTGGCAGTTCGAATCCACCAGCCGCTCCTTGGAAACCCTATGAGGCAGTTCCCTTCTGTCCTATAGGGTCGCCATGAGTCAGACTCGACCACAAGGAGACTTTTTTTTTGAGGATAATCCCAGGAGATGACTTTGCAGTTGACAGACTCTTAACTAACCAGAATCCTTTATAAGTACCTGAATCATTTCTAAGTTGTTATGAAGTTTCTTTGTTCATAATCAAGTGTTATATCTATGGAGAAATTATAGGTTGTTTTCCAGTTTTCCTTGTCTTTGCTCTCTTGTATGTGTTAAGATGTACAAATCAACCAGTTGACCAATGGTTTGAGCTACCTGTCCTCTTATTGGAGTTGGTTTGTGCTCCTGTCCCTGCTGTTTCTGCAATGCTAGGTCTGCTTAAGGCTGTCTAGTAATGTAGAAGGGTTTTTCCCTAAGTTCCCAAACAACTTAAAATTAAGTTCTCAGGTGGTACATGTTTTGGGTTCAGTCTTTTCCTTTCTAGTTCCATGCTGACAAAATGAACTAACTTGGATGAACTCTGAAAGTTTTCAAAAGCTTCTGCTAAATATTAAGGCATCTTTATAATTTTAATAAACCTCAAGCTGATTACCACATAGTGATGAAAAAAACAGCTAAATAAAACACAGTTTATCTGGGAATTGATTCTGAAAGGGCGATTCCAGCACATTCTTAAAATTCTCTTTTCACAAAAAATATGGAAATTTCAGTGCAAAAAAGAGGCAGCTAACCAACCATCACAAAAAGACATGTCAGGTAATTAGAATCCTTCCTTCTCTTCCCCCCTGTTTCTTTCATCTTTTAGAGGAAGTGCTACCCTTTCCGTTTATAAAATACTATTGATAAGATTGCAATACTTGTCAGTATTAGAGTTTCAAGGGATGCTTAGAGTAATTTAGCTATGGAATGGATGTTAGCTATTTCTTGGGTTGAACTCATTTTAAAATAAAGGGTTGTATATAGATTTTATTACCTTATAAATAAAGCAGTTGCCATCAAGTCATTTGAAACTCATGGCAACCCCCTGTGTGTCAGAGTAGAAATGTGCTCTATAGAGTTTTCAGTGGTTGATTTTTCAGTAGATCACCAGGCCTTTCTTTTGAGGCACCTGTAGGTGGGCTCGAACCTTCAACCTTTTGGTTAGCAGTCAAGTGCATTAACCATTTGCACCACCCAGGGACTTCACCTTATAAATAGAAGTACATTGTTTGTGGTAAAAATTGCCTCAATTCATTTAGTGCCATTTCTTACCTGACTTTAGATTTCCTGACATGATATTTTCTTTTTTGCTTAAAAATCTTTTTAAAGTGATTACCACAGATAATTAAAATTGGTTTTATTTCTAATTACATCATAAAGTATTTACATAAATCTAACGGATAATATGGAATATAATGTAGTGGAATTCCAAAGACAGTGATTTTTAAAAATTGCTATCTACAGTTTGTTTAAAAGGCTAAAACGATCATATTTTTTCCATTAATTTTGAAAATAATCATATTACTTTGAATAATTACTTTTGGGAAAATTAATATATTATGTAATAGCATATAAAAATGACAAATAGTAAGCTTTTAGTTCTAATTTCTGTCTTAGCATATTAGTACAGGAAGCAACCATTGAAATCACTTTACAAATGATAATAGGTTACTGTGATGTAGTTTTACTATATAGACTGTGGTATTTGAATCACTTTATCACCCTTTTGCCGCAAATCTAAAATTTGGATATACAGTAAAACCTGTGAAAGCCAGAACCTGTGTTTCCTGTCAGAGAAGGAAATCTCAAAACTAAAACGAGGTATAGGATTCTTACAGAGAGCGATAAGCACCCTGTCGAAGGTGGAAAACTTACGAGACCTGGAAAAACAAAGCAGTCCCATTGAGTTCTAGCCTCTCATAGGTTTCACTGTATTTTCATTGCAAGAAGCCCCTGGTATACTGTTAAGTTCTTCATGTGAGTCAGTGTTTGTGTTTAGGGATTTTTAGTGTTAAGGTGGTGGGTTGGTTTATTATTTAACATTTATCATGGAAGTAAGAATATTTCAGTCTTTTTGGTAAATTATACGTGGGCTTGGGAAACTTAGTTATTTTAACATTAAGTACTAGGCCCTAATTCAATAATAGCAAGAGCTGTAATGGCTAATGAATATGCTTTCATCAGGAATATTTTTATGGTTACATAGTTTAAAATTATAATACTAACAAAACAAACAATAAGAAGGAAAAAATCTACATCGTTCCATCCTAACAAATAACTCTCATCTTATTTCCATTCCAGTTTGTGTTCACATACATACGTAATTTTACATAGTTTTAATATCACAACCTTTATTTTTTCTTTTCATCTGAAATATGAACTTAAGAAAAAGGGGAAACTTCTGTCATGAGATCCTGAAGTTCTAGTTGTAGATTTTGTTTGTCTTTTAATGTTATCTTTTGGACTTGTACAACTCACCAGATAACTCTTGTGTATTCTTCCATGTACTGCAAAGAATACTTGGTCATACATTACTAACTAATTATTAAGTGAAGTGAAAGTTTTACAAGCATAATTGACAGTACTAGTAAGATCAACACACTCTCCTTTGCAGGAATTTGATGTTTTATAACTTTATGTAGCTAAAAAAAAATTTAGTAGATAAATGAACATTTATTGAATGTCTGCCAGGTGTCTAGCTTATATTAGATAGTATGTGATCTTATTGCCATTCCTCAAGGGACTTCCTACATGTAAATTATGTATAAGATTAATTTAATAAAAAATAAACAAATCTATATAAAAAGTGTTTGGAAAATACCTTTGCTACGTACCTAGGTTAAGGTGATGGAACCAGAAATTATACTGGGAATTTAGCTAGGTAGGGAAAAACAGTGAGCTTGATTATTCAGGTTTTAGGGAGCATGGAAGATAAATTTATTTTAACAAGTATTTATTAACAGTTTACTTTGTGTATTTTACAGTACTTGAGGCAGTGAAAGATGAAGCATATGATAATGTCTGTTAGAAGTCAGTGCTTCAGTAAATCATGGTCTAGTATCTCAGTGGAAAGACTATTAAGTAGCTATTGAAAATGATGAAGATCAAAACAATTTATTACTAAGGGAGATGTTTTTATGTTAGTGGAAAAAGCAGAATGTAAAACTTTGTGTAGCTGTATAATGTATTTATACAGTTTTGTAAACTGTATTGTAAACTGTAAATGAATTTACTATTTTGACTATAATTATGTAAAAATGTGTATAGAAATGGGCAAGGGCTAGAAAGAAATGAAAAAATAAAAATGATTGTTCTTATTAGGGGAATTTTCTTTCCTAAAACATTTCTCTTCATGTTTTCTGGTATTGTAATATTGAATTTTTAAAAGTGTGCTTTATGGTTCATGCCCATGAGGAAACGACTATCATGTAAAAAGATTAAAAGGTAAACAACTATAGCAGTCTGCTAGTTACTAGGTGCCATGAGTGAGTGATAGGGAAGTACAGGAATTTAGAGGAATGAAGGATCCCTAGAAACCTAGTGATTAGGGGATATTTCACTGAGGAGGGAGGCTTTTGGTTAAACTTTGAGGGAGGAAGCTAATGATTTGAATGAGTGAATGGTGGGAGGGGAGAGGAGAGCATTGATTCTTTGAGGAGGAAGTGTGGCCTGAGAGCAAAGGCACAGAGACAAGAATGAGCAAAGCAAGTTTAGGTAGCAGAGAATAAGATTAGCCTGCCAGAAAGGAGGACTCTGTGAAGTTGACTAGAGGGTAAGATTTGAAAGGTAGGGCCGAATTGCAGGCAGCCCTGAATG